TCACACCAGTAACGTTACTTTTGTTTCTGGTTTCGTCTTTCGGCTGAAGCGCCGACATTAACAATTTATTTTGTTCAACTAATTGAGAGATGAGGTCCTCCATTTGGAAAAAGAAATAAATTGTCCTACCTGGAGCAGTCTTCAAGAGCAAAAATATTACCTATCTTCAGGTACTTGAAACCTTAATCCAAATTAGTTTCGTTATGAAACGAAACTTTTTCAAGCGATGATATTTTGTATCAATGAAAAATAAAATTCACCAACTCGTCGCCAGTGTGCTGTCCCATAGCGTGGGGTTTTAGGAAATAACACTCTTATATCTAACAAGCACTATTTATTAATTAATTACAACATTTAGAATTTAGAATACAAAAGATGCGTCTTAACGCAACGCTAACAGATGAGGAATACAAACTGAAACTTTTAGAGGGAAAGTCCCAATTCGATTGCGTAGGCGTGATAGTTCGTAAACATAGCCTCGAACAGCTAAATACACGACAATTTTCCACAAACTTTTCGTTTAGAACTATGTTCAATGCATTTTTCAGTTCCAATTAGTTTCCTAACTTAAAAGTTTTAAGTTTATTTAGAAATCAAGACAAAAACTAACGTAATACCTTCTATGACTATCCACACGCTACATGTGAAGTGTTGCCATAGACATCAGATAGTTCTACTTTGTGCCACCAGTAGCCCATTTCGATTGCTAATTTTGTTTGGAGAACAAAAAAAAAAATTCGACCACGTTTGCGGTAAGTTATATAGAAATATTTTATTCTCACTGTTCGACTGGATGCGAAATATTTACGTATTGATGGTGCTTTCTACACTAGGGAACGCTGCAAGCTCCATACCGCCTATACTTCCGGGTTACTGTTTCCGAAGTATTTTAAAGCTATTTGACACACAACGTGATCATTGTGTTTTGAGATTCTTGCAAACATGGTATTTGATTACTTATTGCTTGTGTTTACAATACTAAAGGTGCCAACACTGACGTAAGATGGTGCACAGCTTGCAACAAGAACAAACAGTAATAAACAAATGTAAAGAAGCCAAATCAGGACTGGCAAAAAAGCAAGTTATTCAAATTCCAGCACCTTTTTTAACAGTATATCCATAAATAACTAAAACAAACTTTTCCTTCAAACTCACCAGAATTGCTTATAACATTAATATCTTATGAAATATGGCAAATTTGAGCTCAGAAATTATCTAATTTACTTCTATTATTGAAAACAAAATTATCCGTTTGAAAATATCGACTAGCAGAATAAGTTGTAGTAAGCAGTTGCAAACTTTCTAACCGGAACTAGAGCAGGTTAAGAGCTCGAGATTGTTACGGTTTACATTTATATTGAAAACACCATCCATACGAAATACAAAAATTACAGCAAATATACCTTAAATATACCTCCAGAAATATATAAGCATCAATCTGAGGTGCTTCATCTTACATTTGTATACCTACCTCTCTATAGAGAGGTAGGTATTTACTACTTTAAGATGTTTCGTTTCAAACTCAGGTTATTACTTATTAACTTGAAGTATGGATGGTGTTGTCAGTGGAAATGTAAACAATAACAATCTCGAGCTGTATGCCTGCTCTAGTTCCGGTTAGAAAGTTTACAGCTGCTAACTACATGTTGTTCTGCGAGGCGATATTTTCAAACGGATAATTTTGTTTTTAATAAAGGAAATAAATTAGATAATTTCTAAGCTCAAATCTGCCGTATTTCATTAGATATTAATGTTATTATGTAATTCTGGGGAGTTGGAAGTGAAAATTTGTTTTAGTTATTTAGAGATATATTGTTAAAAAAGGTGACATGTTTGCTAGATTTTAAATAACTCGCTTTTTTGAAGTCTTGATTTGGCCTCTTTCCATAAGTTTACTACTGTTTGTTCTTGTTGCAAGCTGTGCACCATCTTACGTTTGTGTTAATACTTTTAGCATTGCAAACACAAGTATTGTTAGCATTGTAAACATTGTAAATACAAGTTATAAGTAATCAAATACATTGTTTGCAGGAATCTCAAAACACAATGATGCCAAATGGCTTTAAAATACAACGGAAATAGTAACCCGGAAATTTAGGCGGTACCGAGATTGCAGCGTTCCCTAGTGCAGAAAACACCATCCATATATTTTTACACATGTGGAAGTATTTATTCAACAACTATTATGAAAGATGTTTCATTTAACACTTCATGTTAATCTAAATCTACTTCAAGTGCATTTTTTAACAGTTGTTAAGGTAATTTTTTACTAACGTGATGTGCTTTGTGTTCTACCCCAGGTAATTATATTTCAACCTCAAATATATATTTTTATTCTTGTAGAGGTAATTTTTTTATCAACTTAAGGTGGGTCATTTTACACATCAAGTTATTATAGATCAACCTCAAGGTTATTTTTCGACAGTTGGATAGGTTGTTTTCTTCTTGCTAACGTGATGTGTTTTATGTTTTACTTTAGGTTATTATTTTTCAAACTCAGGTGTCGACTTATATAGTAGGAAACGCCATTTTAAACTTTACACCTCTATCTTACAATTAGAACGCTTTGGGGGAAGTGTCATTGGTGACGTCAGGAAGTGACTTAGAACTAACTTTGTCCATTGAAGATAGTCTGGGAAACATCCCTGAATAATGACAAGAAGATATATTAAAATTTTGATTCTCTGCAGAGGAAATGGTTTCATCACTTTAATGCCTTGATGACCTTAGTTTGAAGTCGGACACTTAACGGAAGAACAATTTAACGAAACCAGATATCACACACCCTTGATTTCTTTGCAGGCTGATCAGAATAGTCATCCTCGCGCTTCCTGACAGCTACCAGTACCAATGTGAATATCTCATCACTTGATCACTGAAGTCAGGCATTACTAGCAACATCACACCGTATTGTTGCCCATAACCCACTGTTCAAATCTAATGTAACGTATACAGACTACTACTAGTGTGACGTAAACAGATTACTAATACAGTTCGTTGAGGTACGGTACGGTACTCTTATTGAAGTCGCACTAGAGCTGTACAGTGGGCTATTGGTGACGGTTAGAGAACATCCCTGAAGATGATCCGGAGATATCCAACACACGTCACATCCCGTTTTACACGGAGGACACATTCAAAAACCATCCATTCTCAGATCATAATTTTGACCTGAACGTAATTTGCACTATCAATCTCCGATCCAGTACCACCCAGGATTATTGATTTGCTATAGGAGCTTGTAGGACTTAGCGACCCCGGCAAATTAAGATAGCGCCAGTCAGCATTTTATAC